TTTTTTTTTCAAAATAATTCAGATATGATTGTATTTTTATTCACTTTCTATTATTAGGATGCAAAAGGAAACGATCAAAGATTAATTAAGGTGCATGGGCGAAAAACCTTTTATATAATAATATGGCTTCACCCTATACCGGCTATGCATGCGTTTGATTCGAGATAGAAATTGACAATATGGTGCAAACAAGAGGTAGTGTCCTTACTACTACAACAATATTACTACCGATCTACACAGGGCTTCATCTTCACTGTAAGATTGCTAATGTAGCTACTTACATTGTTGGAGATGGCAACGATTGGTCCCCTACCGTCACTAATTAAACTCTAAAAAAATCAATTATTGATAAGAATGGGAGGCAATACCGGTAATACTCTTAGCTTACATAGGTCCTAGGTTGGAGGTGTTACAACATGGCTTTGTGCAAGCTAGCGATCACCCGTGGCAGAGCCGATTGGGGCGAGGCATTGATGCTAGCGGTGCAAAAGTGCTAGGCATGTATCCTGGATCGAAGCATGAATACAGCCATAGCCATTGCCATTGCCATTGTCATTGTCATTGTATGACCACATCCCTCCGATCTAGCTGAATTGGAACCTAGGGTGGGACAATCCGAACCACGAGTCATCGCCTATAAAGAATCACATGATATATTTTAATAAATATAAAAATAAAACAAAACAAAAAAAATTACAAAAGTATCAAAATGATACGCATAAGGAAAATATAATACTTTATAGAAAAAATATATGTTCATATAAATAAATTCAAAATCAACACAAAACATAAACACATAATTCAAACGATTATACATAAATAGTTGATAAGAGTATATTCGAAAAAAATACTCATCAACATTATTATTATCCTAACTATCACTATCATTATTAGAATTACTATCGTTATTATTATGATGTTTTATGTGTTTTTGGATAGATTTTTTGAATTTTTCTTTATCAAGTATGTTAGGAAGTATTTTTGCAAGCCACGACTTGTCTCGCATTGATCTTCTAAAAGTACAGTGCCGAGGATTGGATTAGCAAGTAAAAGAATTGATTTTGAAAGACTTTGTCAAATGACCCTTTGAATTCAAACACAATGTTATCGCAATTTTTAATTTTAGATTGACATACATCCGTAGCTATATTTTCTTACCATAAGTCACCAAACTACATCTTAAGATTAGGAAGGAGAGTCTTCCACAAAGCTATTATCTTTTCTCTCTCTGTCATTTCTTGATCATTATGAATTATCTTTTGGATCTTTTTATTGACCCTTTTACAATACTCTATAATAATGTGGCTTCGGTTCGTAGTATACTCAACAAGCTTTCTCTTGTATTTATTAAGTTTTTCTCTTTGCTTTTGTGTTCTCGTAGCTCTAAGGCATGTGAGGTCATAACTTTATATGGATTTGGTCTGTTTCTTTTGTTTTTTTTTCTTTCATATCCGACCAACACATAATTACTTAAATAACATTTTTTATCCGAAAACCTAACAAAATTTTGGTAGATTTTGCTTTTAAATAGGATATTTTCAAATTAGTAGAGACTTTAGTTGCACAAAAAAAAAAAAAACACCTCTAAAATACACAACACATGCTCCAAACATGCATAATAGCCAAAATTATCAAAACTTATGAAATTCAATCAATTTGCGCATACCGAGACCATCATTTGCCTCAAATAATCCATTAAAATTAAAACCCAATCTATATGCTCCATGTTTCATCATAGAGCATTGACGCCATCTTATTTCTTTTCAATTTATGGGGTCTCTAACTCTTCGGATTCTATATATTATGACGTATCTTGGCACACTTCAACAATTAACTAAGAATCAACTACATGGTAATGCGTAATGAAGAAATAAAAAATATATAGTTTAGAAATGCTCTATTAGCTCTACTAAAGCCATTTACTTCAACCAGTAGCAAAGTTAAAATTTTTTTCCTTTAGGAACAAGAATAAATGCATGATATACGTGCACGTGCACGCCTATATATATATATATATATATATATATATATATATATATATATATTAAACTTTGCCTAACCAACCAGTAATACAAGAAAAAATATTATTTTTCTAATAAATTTGTGCTCGCCGAGTTTTTATAGATTCAATTTCATCTATAATTTCATCCATACCAAGTATAATATTCATCAAAAAATCCATACTAGTATAGCACTAATAATTTCTTTCTTAATTTCTCCATATTATTTTGAGGATAAATCAATATACTTATAATCCTAACTTCTTATTTATTAGATTTTTTCAAATAAAGCTACAAAATTAAACTTAGCTCGAACCAAAGTAAACAATATACGATTAATTTATAACATGAAAGATAAAATGAAGTAAATAAAATAACTTGAGCAATAGCAGAGCATAAATAAATTGTCTTGATAATGAAAAAAGGGTGGCTTCGATTAGTGTGTGAGGAAAGGCACTAGAGGGGGAAGGAGTGGTAGGAAGTTTGGTCGGATTTGGGAGGAGCGACGGAACTTAAGGATGGAGGAGGAGAGAAAAAATGGAGGAAGAAGAGTCTATAAATTTTAGGGATATTTCTTAGCGATGGAAGTAATTTTGTTGCTAAGAATAATTGTCTCGTCACTTCGTTTAATTTTTGAAATAGCATCATTTTTTTGGCAAATAGCAACATACACAATTCCGTCATTAAGAGTAAGTGTTCGTCGTTGTTTGAATTTTAAAATTGCACCAATTTTCCCAAAAATTCAACGACGGACTACTATCTATCGCTATTTATAATTTTTTTCATCGCTGGTTTTTTTTTTTTTTTCCATTTTGGTTAAATCATCTCTCCTAAAATTAACGATGAACACAACAATCCAATGCTACTATCCGTTGCAAATGAGTTGGTATTTTATTGCTAACTTAACTACCAAAAATTTACTATTAAATTCAACGACGGATGTATTTCATAATTGATATTCCGTTGTTAACCGGATGGTATTCCATCGTTATTATTCCAAAATATATAGGGATTTATAACCTTCATTATTCATTCGCTAATCTGTTGTTGTTTGATGACTAATTGATGTCCGTTGCTATTTTGTAGGTTTTTTTAGCAAAAACATATATATATATATATATATATATATATATATATATATATATATATATATATATATATATATATATATATATATGTTAACCGGATGGTATTCCATCGTTATTATTCCAAAATATATAGGGATTTATAACTTTCATTACTCATTCGCTAATTTGTTGTTGTTTGATGACTAATTGATGTCCGTTGCTATTTTGTAGGGTTTTTTTAGCAAAAACATAATATATATATATATATAACTCTCAAAAAAATTCAGTTAACTTATATTATTATGAAGCTTTTTTAATTAAGAATACTTAGATGAATAAAAGTTCTGTAAATTATATTTTTAATAAATTATTTTTTAATATTATCAATGTTTGTTCAAAAGAATGAAAATAAAGTAACAAAATAACAAAAATTAACAAGGAAATTCATTTTAATATTTCGATGAATTTTGACGTAATTTGATTACTTTCAAAATTTAATATTTTAAGTTTCCGATTGGTTTGCTTTGAAGCTTTTTTAGAGTTTTGGTAGTCAAAATAAAGTACAAATATAGTATACTATATAGTTTAAGAGTGATTTAAATAATTTATTTTATATTATTTAAGATTTTATATGATGTATGAATAGAAAATGCTGAAAAACTAGATTAACTTATATTTTAAGATTCATTCTAAAAAATAGCCTATTTTTTAGGAATAATAATTTTTATTTTTAAAGAATTTTATCAAAATTGATATTTTTCTTTAATAATAGATGAGGTTGAATTTTATTATTAAAATTGGTTTATATATTGTCATGTTAGTATTGTATTAAAGGAATAATAATCAATGAAAAGATTTTATGGAGTTCATATGGATAAATTCCCTTCTTGCATCAGACCGGAATGCCATCCATAATTAGATCTCCCAATGGGTTTTAGGCACGGAAGGAGAATCGCTTGCTGGGTTACCTGTCAAGGATAACTGGATAAGGGCAATTTTGTTGGGCTGATTGCTTTCTAGGCCTAGTTTCATCCTGGGCTTGATGTCCGTTTCTGATCGGACTTGTGGTATATTTGATTCATTAATGTTATGAACTTTTGCTTCCGGTTAAATTCTTCTTTTGCCTTTTTCTTTCGCAAAAATGGATTGGCAAAAAGGTGACCTACGTCGAGGAAAAACTACACAAGGATATCACCATATTTTTGTGGCTGGAGCTCAAGGCACCTTTATGAGTGGCTAAATCGATAGTAAATATATCATTTTCTCAAAATTAAGACTAGTAATATACTCACTCTATAACCATCAAACAAAACCTCATTACCAACTTTTAAGTCCTTATAAAATATTGCTAACAATAAGAATTAATGAAAAAAGGCCTAAAATAATAATATATTATTCATTAATTAATAATATGAAAATGAGATTGAACGGTGGAGACCACTCTATTTGCCATAGATTTTATATTGATACCATATGTATCTTAACTGAAGAAATCTAAAATCCATTAAATATATTTATATATCTAAAATCCAGGCAAAAGCCAATATGGCTGGCAAATTAATTTAATTCTTTATTCGAGGGAAGGCCAGAAAATTAGTACTAATTCACGTAAAAAAAAAAAATTATTAGCTAAAGGGATTGATGGAGGTCTTGAAGAGAATGAGAATCCATGCATAAATGGAAACGCGTACAGCTAGAAATCAAACCACTCAAGAAGGAAGAAAATACTCCTGGTCAGTATGCATGTACGCATGCATTCCGATAAAATACAGAAAAGGCAAATACAATTTGTTTGCTCATCATACCATTTATTACTCTCAATACTGATTCTCCATTTATTTATGATCTATAATCGATTCATGATTTCTAACTATTTAATTATACATTCCAATCCCTGAACCATTTTATCATCTCCATCTCTAGCGTATTAGCCATGGCAACTTTCCAATCTCCTCTCTCTTTTGCCTTAGCAATTGCACTATGTGTGGCTGGTTTTAGCTGCATATATGCCCACAATGGTGGCCTTACTGTGGAACTAATCCACCGTGATTCACCCAATTCCCCCTTTTACAACTCTCAAGAAACTCGCCTCCAACGTTTAAACAATGCTTTCCGTAGATCCATTAGTAGCGTCCACCACTTTATGCCAACTGCTGCTTCAGTCTCTCCATATGAAGCTGAATCTGAGGTTATAGCCAACCGAGGTGAATACCTCATGAGCTTATCCCTCGGGACACCACCTTTTGAAATCCTGGCTATAGCAGATACGGGTAGCGATCTTTTATGGACACAGTGCAAGCCATGCGAACGGTGTTACAAGCAAGTTGATCCTCTTTTTGATCCGAAGTCTTCAAAAACATATAGAGACCTTTCCTGTGACACAAGCCAATGCAAAAAATTAGAGCAAACTTCTTGCTCCTCTGATCAAGTTTGCCAATACTCGTATTCTTATGGTGATCTATCCTTCACCAATGGAAACGTTGCAGTTGATACAGTCACTTTGGCTTCCACAAATGGACGTCCAGTGTCTTTCCCTAAAACTGTAATTGGATGTGGACACCAAAATGATGGAACCTTTGATAAGAAAGGTTCAGGTATCATTGGCCTAGGAGCTGGTCCGGTGTCCCTTATATCTCAAATGGGCTCCTCAATTGGTGGCAAATTCTCCTACTGTTTGGTGCCACTAGACTCTAAATCTGGAAACTCAAGCAAATTACACTTTGGGAGCAATGCTGAGGTATCAGGTTCTGGAGTCCAATCTACCCCATTAGTGAGAAAAGATCCAGATACCTTCTACTTTCTGACTCTAGAAGCTATCAGTGTTGGAAATAGTAAAATAAAATTGGTTGGTTCATCCTTTGGTGGCAGTGATGGAAACATCATCATTGATTCCGGTACTACTTTGACCCTATTGCCAGAAGAATTCTTCAACAAATTGACTACAGCAGTCGAGAAAGCAGTTGTTAATGGCCAACCAGCCAAGGACCCAAGTAAATTCCTGAGTCTTTGTTATCTTGCCACTTCTGATCTCAAACTTCCTATACTCACTGCACATTTCTCTGGTGCGGATGTGAAGCTCCAACCTATAAACACCTTCGTTCAAGTTTCAGATGATGTTGTGTGCTTTGCTTTTAGCTCTATTGATTCAGGTGCAATCTACGGTAACATTGCACAGATGAACTTCTTGGTAGGGTATGACATTAAAGGAAAGTCTGTGTCCTTTGAGCCAGCTGATTGCACCAAGCTGTAACTGGGTTGAGTTTGTGTGATTTAAGTTTTATGTTCCACAGTGTTACAAACATAAGTCAGTACTTATCTACTTTTGCATTGCTGTCCTCTGTCTACAAGGTCAATTTCAAAATCCTTATTTTACCATTTTCTTTTATCTACGAAAGTAATGTTTAGCCTGATGATAGTAGATAAGTATTGATTTCTAAGTTAAGTCAAGGTTTGATAAATAGAATTTTAATAAATTTTAAAATTAAATTAGAATGTTAACATTATAATGATTTATACTCTAATTTAGAGTATACTAATATAGTAATTATAGTTATAAAATTAAACATTTGTTTATTATATTAAAGTGAATAATAATAAATTGACTCTTAAATTGTCAAACTTTTCTATTTTATACCAATCAATCTAATCAATTGTAAAAATTAGATTAAAAAAAAAAGTAAGTAGATGATCTTTATAGTTAATATTTTTTAAATTTTATTTTAAAACATTTTAAATCCTGCATTAGAAAATATTTTTTAATTATATTAAAAAATTAATTTTAAAATTAATATGTGAAAATTAGTCTGAAGATAAAAAAGAAGAAGAAGTAATGTTTAGTCTTTCATCAATAGAATTTCAGTTTCCCCATGCCCTCCTGATTGTAAATCCCGAGAATATTTCAACTCAATATCTGTGCTTTTCCATTCCCATTAATAATTTAGAAATTGTAGGTCTTGAGTGATTTATCCTTCCCTTTCCTGACATCGGACCAGAACACATCTCAATTTCATCATTGGATTATAATAAGGCAATGATAATTATCTATTTATGGCACCGGTTATGATTACTGCTCAAAGATACACTCAACTAAATGGTGAATCTCAAACGTGCGGGTCCAGGCGCTGGTTATAGGAAAATCTTAACTTTATATTTGGAAAGTATTTTGGCAAATAAAATATTGCAAACCTACGCTCTTTCCTGCCAAGTATATGGGTTATTTATTTATTTATTATTATTGTACATTAATGTCGTAATTTTCTTAAAAAATTGTTTCCATTTATTAATAACTCTACAAATATTTTGAGTTGGATAGGTGTGCACATGCACAAGTTTTTGAATTTTTTTTTATGTCTTTAATATTGAATTTAAGAATTTATGATTACCGAATTTGATATCCTTTATTTTTCAATACAATGAAAGTAATAGAAATAACTATAATTAAATCAATTAATACTATGCATAAATATAGTATGCATCTTATTCACACTTAATGGTAAGAGAATTGTCATGTTATGATAAAGATTAAGATTCAATTTTTAGGTAATGTATTATCAATTTTCTTTATAATTAAAATAAAAAATTTCTTACATAAATTATATAAATTTTTTTGTTTGTGCAGAAATTTTTTGATGGGATGAGGACATCAATGCGCTTGTTAGAGTGGCATGGGAGGGTGTCGCTAGGAAATACTATGCCGACTTCATCTTCAAGATGAGTAAGAGAAACGACCAACCTATTTTTGTTAGTCGGGAGGTCTCGGATGCGTGGCGAGCAAATTTCAGAAAACCCGATCGCGTGGCTCATTCGGAGCAAGCTTCACTGAACAGATTGTCGGAGATCGATGGTCTTGGTCCGGTCCTTCCGGGTATACAGGGGGCTCCATATCTTCAAAAGAGCACACTCGTCATTTGATAAATTTCACATTCTTTATTATTATTGACTTATTTAATAAAATTTTGATTTTCTTATATTGTCCGTAATGATTTTTTTAAGCGATAAAATTAAGCCGTCGACCAACGAGTTTTGAATTGTTCAAGACGACTCATAAGAGACGAGATGATTCATTCATTGATTAGCGCTCTCGGCGAGAAAATGGTAAGTGTTTTTCAATAAAAGTATTAAATATGAAAAGATAATTCAAATTTTATTTTAATCCTCTAATGATGATATCATTATTTTGATTACGTAGAAGCATATGGAGCAACTTATAAATGAGGCAATTGCAGCTTAGAGGGCGAAGGAATTTTGGAGCCGAAGTTAACCAGGCATGTCATATACCTCGAGGTTATCGGGGAGAAGAAGAAAAGATTTTATGGTATAAGCACACAGTTGGTGCATTATTTGTCCCAATCAAGTGGCGGTAGCTCCTCCTTTATGACGTCGTATTACACCATTGATCCGACTAATGAAGAGCTTCGAAGAGACTACGAGGCTACGAAGGAAGCGATGAAGGAGATGCGAGTGATACAAAATGAGCTTCAAAGCCGAGTGGCGAGTAGTGTAGCTAGATCTCGGAGTAGCATCGGACTATTTATAGTTTGAAATCTCGATACGAGTCAATGGCATCCTTAGTCATGAGGTCGGCATAAACAAGCTGGGGTGCTTATAGATTTATCGATCGATCGGCAATCTACCATTCCTTCTATTCTTCCTCCGAGTTCAGCCTCCAGCCGATCCTCTAACCAAGCCCTCCACACGGTATTAGGAAGAGGAAATTGGATTAGACGAGCAAGATGATTGATAGGGTGTTTAGTCATTTTGTTTTTTTTTTTTTAATGGAATGTACTCTAGAATGATATTTATTTTTAATATATACATTATTACTTATAATTGTTAATTATTAAACATTAGTTATTAAATGTCATATTAATAATTTAAAAACAATTAAAAAAATTATCAAAAAATTTCACGACGGAATGGCGACAAATTTGTTATTAAAATTAGTGACAAACTCGTTTTCAAATTTAGCGACTAAATAACGATGGAATAGTGACAAATTTGTTTTTCAAATTTAGCGATGGAATATCGATGGACTAACGATAAATCTAGTTTCAAAATTAGCGATGAAAATAGCTACGAAAGAAACGATGATCCCACGACAAGATTAGCGATAACTTTTTTTATGGAGTGACAAATTATTCGTTGCTAAACATTGCAACGGATTGGATTTTTCATCATAAAAAATTAACGACAAGTGAAATAGCGACGAAAAATATTAGGTCACAATTCCATCGCTAATCACAATTAGTGACAAAATTTAGGCAATTAGCAATGAAATTTTTCATCGCTAATTATCTTTTTTTTTTTTGTAGTGGTATATGATACTACTAATTAAGGTGTAACAATTTAGAGAAGTTTCTATAAAATGTAAACAATTAACAATCCAACATTTTTTAGGTTGAAACATGAAAATTCATAGTCATTGTTTCGAAATTAATTCTTGCTTTTTTAATCAAATTCATTTTGAAATTTGACTTCGTATTGATATTGATGGGTCCCACCCATTTTGGACCCATCACCTTTGAATCAAGATTCAACGGTGCATCAATTTTTGGATAAAAATTGCATCAATACAAAGCGACACTTTTTGAAAGATTGCATGCATGCATAGTTAGTTTAAGTGCAACATTTGTTGACAAGGAAAAAAATAGAGGCGGTAGCACATATTCAAACTTCAAGAATAGCCTATAAATAGGTTTGTTATGTATTCATTGTGTAAGATAGAAAAAAGAGAAAAATTGAGAGAGAAAGAGTGGGTAAGGTAGAGAAATTGGTGTGCCAAAAGTTATGACTATATTGTGTCCAAATTTTAATTTTTATTATAAGCTCTTAGTTGTCCTCTCGTTTATATGCCCATTATTAAATAGTGGAGGATATATTGACTTGGTCTCGTGGTTTTTACTCCTAGATTTAAGGAGGTTTTCCACGTAAAAAACTCTTATGTCATTTTTCTCTACCCTTTTTATTTTATTTTCTAAAATGAGATTTAGACCCATTACCTAACAAGCTGGTATCGAGCACGAGGTTTCAACCTCTAAAGAAGAACCCAAAAGTTTAATTTTTTGGAAGAAATTACTGCAAGATGGAAGCAAAGGTTGGAAAGATGATCTACCTCAATGGCTCAAACTATCAAATATGAAAAAATAAGATGACGGATCTCGTGTATATGATAAAGTCGCAATTACCGGTGTTTGCTATAACAAAGCTCAAAGATGAAACTGATAAGGGCTAAGAGTTTGAGCACATGCAAGTGTGTGGCCTTATCCAACAACTTGTAGAAGAAAATGTGTACAATAACGTTAGTAGTGAAACACATACCCGAACGTTATGGAATAAGCTTGAAGAATTGTATGCTTCCAAAACTGAAAATAATAAATTATTTTATCTAACAAATTTAATGCAAGTGAAATATCGAGAAGGTATATTTGTGATAGATCACTTGAATCAAATTCAAAGGATAGTGGATCGGTTGTTAGGAATGGACATAAAGTTTGATAACAAAGTGTTTGCTCTCATGGTGTTTGCCTCTTTGCCGAGTCTTGGGAGACCTTGAAAATTTCAATTACCACATTTGCTCCAAATGGTGTTATGACTATGGAATCTGTAAAAAATGGTGTTCTAAATGAAAAGATGAGACGAAGATCAAAAGGTTCCTCTTTACCATAATCGGATGTTTCGAGTTGTAGATTTCAAAGGGAAAAACCGGAGTAGAGATTCAAAACACAAGGATAAGAGTAGAGGAAGATCCAACAAATATGCTAATATTGAGTGCCACTACTGCAAGAACAAAAGGCATATTAAAATATTCCGTTAAAAATACAAAAGAGACCGGGAGCATAATAAAGGAAAACATGAAAAGAAACATGATGACGAATGAGCAACTACCTCTATCGAAGGATTCCTCATTGTATGCAAAGATGAAGTTGCCAATCTTGCATCTCAAGAAACATGTTGGATGGTTGATAGTGGTGTTTCCATACATGCCACATCATGAAAAGATTTCTTTTCATCTTACACATTAGGAGACTTTGGTATTTTCAAGATGGGAAATGACAACTCGGTAAAAATTATTAGCAAGGGAGATGTTTGCTTGGTAACAAAAAATGGCATAAGACTAGTCTTAAAAAACGTTAGGTATATCCTAGATATTCGTCCGAATTTGATCTCTACAAGTAAACTTGATGATGATGGATTCTGTAACACTTTCATTAATGGCCGAGTGGAAACTCACCAAATGCTCTCCGGTAATGGCTAGAGGTAAAAAATATTCAACATTGTATTTGATGCAAGAAAAGCTCTCCATAGAAATGGTGAATACTATGGAGAAAGATAATACAATGGAATTATGACATAGTAGGCTCAACCATATGAGTGAGTGAGAAAAGAATGACATGGCTAGCTAAACAGAATGTGCTAGTTGGGATGGATAAAGTACATTTGAAGAGGCATGCGGATTGTCTACTAGTAAAGCAAAATAGAGTTACTTTTAAAAGTGCTCCTCCTTCTAGAATGAAAAACGTGTTGGATCTAGTACACTTAAACTTTTACGGTCCAATAAAAACAAAGTCATTTGGTGGTCCTCAATACTTTATGACTTTTATTGATGATCATTCTAAAAAGACATAGGTCTATACCTTGAAGACAAAAGATGAGGTGTTAGACATGTTCAAATAATTTCAAGCCTCGGTTGAGAGACGGACTAAAAAGAAGTTGAAATGTATCCGAATAGACGATGGTAGAGAATACATTAGTCCGTTTGAAGCTTACTATAAAGAAAAGGGGATTCGATATCAAACAACACCTCTAAAGACTCTGCAATTGAATGGCATAGCAGAAAGAATGAATAAGATTTTGATAGAAAAAGTTAGAAGTCTACTCTCACATGCAAAGCTATCTAAAACATTTTAGGGTAAGGCTTTAAGTATAGTTATTTATGTATTAAATTTATCACTTGTGTATTCCTTTATAGTATGATGTTTCGAGAGAGTATGGTCCGGAGAAAATGTTTTTTATGATCCTTTGTGAGTGTGTGGATGCAAGGCATTTGTGCACATTCCAAACGATGAGAGGTCTAAACTTGATGTCAAGACACGATAGTGTATATTCATTGGCTGGCCAAGATCAATTTAGTTATAGATTCTATGATGTAGTCTAGAAGAAGCTTGTTAGAAGCCGTGATGCGGTGTTTGTTGAAGACCAAACTATCGAGGACATTGATAAAATCAAGAAAAATGTCTCTAGCTCCGATGGTGATTCAATAGACTTAACGTCGGTTCCCCAACAATGGTGCTAAGGTAAGTTAGAGATGAAATTCAAAATGATTTACTAGATGTAGACGATGCGGATGCTCTCATAAAGATCAAAGATAATGATGGTGTTCCAAATCAACCACTAGCAATAATAGATTCTCTAGTTCCATTAATGAGATCTACTAGAGATAAACAACCCTTTACTAGATACTCTAATAACTAATATGTGTTGCTTGATCGATGGAGGAGAACCGGAAAGCTTTGAAGAAGTTATGAAGGATGAATAAAAGTAGAAATGGATCGATGCCATGTAAGATGAAATAAAATCCTTGCATGAGAACAAAACATTTCAGCTAGTGAAGTTGCCTTAAAGAGAAAAAAATGTTGAAGAATAAGTGGGTGTTTAGGGTGAAGCGAGGAATAAAACGACTCGGTTCCACGATTCAAAGCTAAACTAGTTGTCAAAGGATTCGAACAATGAAAGGTATTGACTTTGATGAGATCTTGTTTTTGAGTGGTGAAGATGACATCAATTCACACGATACTAAGCTTAGCATCAAGCCTTGATTTGGAGGTTGAGTAGATGGATGAAAAACGACCTTCCTTCATAGAGACTTAGAGGAAGAGATTTACATGGAGCAACCGGAGGGTTTCAAGGAAAAAGAAAAGAGAACTATGTTTTAAATTAAAGAAAAATCTTTACGGATTAAAACGAGCATTGAGACAGAGGTACAAGAAGTTTGAGTCGGTTACAAAGGAGCAAGGTTATGAAAAGACTACCTCTAACCAGTTTGTTTTGATGCAAAAATTCTCTAATGATGATTTCATTATTCTCTTGGTCTATGTCGATAACATGTTAATTGTTGGTAAAAATACTTCTTGAATTGACAAACTAAAGAAGTAATTGAGCAAGTCTTTTGACTTGAAAAACTTAGGGCTAGCAAGGCGGATCCTTGGCATACGGATCGTTCGAGACAAATATACCAAGAAGTTGTGGTTGTCACAAGAGAAATACATCGAGAAAGCACTTCAAAGATTCAATATGAATAAGGTTAAAGCGAGTTAGTTGTCCTCTTACTAAACACTTTAGACTAAGTATTGGTCATAGTCCTTCTACAAAGAAAGAAAAGGTAAAGATGCAACGATTTCCTTATGCTTAAGCGGTTGGTAGTTTGATGTACACTATGGTGTGCACATGACCAAATATTGCTTATGCTCGTCGATGTACTCGAGTCGATTTCTTTCCAATTTGAAAAAATAGCATGGGCAACGATAAAGTGGATTTTTAGGTATCTTTGAGGAAAATCCAAATTATGCCTATGTTTTGGTGCTGCCAAACTTGTGTTAGTTGGATGCACGGATATAGATATGGCTGGTGATGTTGACTCAAGAAAGTCTACATCGGGTTACTTGATCACTTTTGCAGGAGGAGTCGTATCATGATAGAGAAATTGGTCTGCCAAAATTTATGACTATATTGTGTCCAAATTTTTATATTTATTGTAAGCCTCTAGTTGTACTAGAGAGATTCTTTTCATACGCTCATTATTAAACAATTGAGGATATACTAGCTTGGTCCTATGGTTTTTACTTCTAGATTTAATGAGGTTTTCCACGTTAAAAACTCTTGGTGTAATTTTTCTCTTAACCTTTTTCTTTTATTTTCTAAAATGAGATTTGTCTCACTACCCAATGGGTGTTTCTCTGACTCCATGTATATTTCCCATGACTACCCACTTTTTTTTTTTTTATTAGTAGCCGGTAGAAACTATTAAACATCAAGATTTGAATATAGGATTGTACAAACCCTCTGCCATTAACAATTGATGAATGTTTGTGATGCGATATTTTTTAAGTCAAATTCTGATTCCCATCTCTTGTGCAGGACAGACAGTGGCTTTGCTCGTTTGAATATTAAGATGGGCGTTGACATTTACGAAAATGAGTTTTCCAGTGTCGGTATGCACAGTGGGTGATTTTTGAACCGATGATGAAAATGATGAAAACAAGCAACATCCTTTGAAGCACAGATCATAAAGCACCTTTTTTTTTCTCTGACATGTTCATGGGCGTGCATATAACATGTCCTATTTATTAGTACAAGAAACAGTGTAAATATCTGGAAATAAATCAGATTCTACGCAGCAGATTTCTTCTCACTGACATATTTCCCAATTTCTTCTGCCATAGTTTGCAGTGGCTTGGTGGTGAGAAGAGAAACTAGCTCAGCTTTTGAATCATCTATCTCATACTTTATGGTGGATCTAATAACGGATGATTCGGCGTCTTTCTCAATGATCTCCAAGCGAAAGCGACAAACATCAAAGCCGAGATCCTTGTATCCTCCTTCAATCGTTTCCGTTTCTTTCACACGCTTTTCATCATCCATAATCCTGAATATTTCCTTCAAGTAACCACCAGGAGTTCCTGACAGGATCATCGATATTATCAATAAAGAAGACAAAGGATAAAAATCATATCCATATCAACAGTTTAAATCAAATGTATGAGATACCTGGAGGAAATGTAAGTTTGAAAATAGTACCAACACCTCCATCTCCTTCTAGTACCTCCGTTTTGCCAACAACATGGCCTAGTAATTCATCGACCAGCCTTCCAAGCTCAAGTCCGCGGTACGCACTCCAGACTGCACTTGCTGGTGCCCCCACCACAGTTTCCTGAGATAATTCACCTTTCATATTGTTATAGCCTTTTTCTTCTAATAAGCTTTCCTTCCTTCTTCTCTCTGTGATTGTATTTTGTTCTCTCAAACACAGAATTATATGCCAGCCCAATTAGTAATGATCGCTAGTTTCTATCTATGAATGGCAATTCTTTATTTGTAACGCTAAATGACTAGGACCAAAGATTCTTTACCATGTGCGGTTACAAGAATGGAATCGATCGTTTTTGTTGGTTATACCTGATCTTTTTTTATTTTTTCTCGTGTTGTTACCTTCACCATTGATATGACATTTTTCCAATTTTTAATGTCTACAATTTTGCCCCCATTGACTATGCTGCCGGCTACAAGCTAGCTATAGTGTTAAATATAGTAGTCCCATGTGCTGTTTCCTTACCGTGTGGAAAAACACAGAAAACCAGATCGCAACCGACCCACCACCTACCAAGGATTAACAGGAACATGACTAAAATTGAAGGATGCATCTATTAGTAAAGGACTAACACGACTATAAACAATATGTTAAGACTAAAAAATAATTCTACCTCTCAACAGAAATGCGGAAGCTTAATCGTTCCTTTAAATATAATATTTAGAACTGAAATTATCTTTTCAAAAGGACTATTGTTATAGTTTGTAAAGAAAATAGGAGCAAAATGTAACTATATCAACATTGGGAGCCTAAAATGTAATTTGTTACAAAGTGTTAACAGGCCTGTACCTATTTTATAACGAAACTGCTGACACATGGCATAACTATGTAAACCCAAAATGCAAAAGCGAATCCTCCTACCAGAAAAGTCCTAGCAGAAACACACCCGCGTACGCGAACAGCAAACGTACCTATAGTCGTTAATGTTTCCTTCACAATATTTCATATTGCTTTCGTTCACTTTCAGGACGAAATAAATAGAATGCTTTAATTTTAAATCCACAAAAATATTTCAATTCAATATGAGTTTCCCCCTGCCGTAATTGTAAATCCTCAGAGAATATTTCAATTCAATTTCTACCGACTCTTCAAAAGTGGGGAACTCTGGAAGCAACAAATTGTTTGGACAACATCTTCATATAATCAAGTGCCTTCTGCAATCATCAGGTGCTACAGAGCGCATAATTTGAAGGCGATACCGTGTCCCCAGTATCTATGTTTTTGGCAGTTACCAGCAAAGTGTCCTTCAATGACCTGCCCTTCATTGTCTAGGATAGCCAGACCCATGTCGATCTTAGCCCCTCTGTGCATCCTATGAAAGACGATGTTACATGCCGTCCAAATCAAGTGTCCTCCTATGTTCCCAAAATTTCATTTTAAGTAAAATAAAATATCTATGGCTACAAAGCTTCACAAATGACTATCTAATTTAATCATTTTTGTCCTCTTACAATTTCAATGATAGTTTCTTACCCTGTCCTTGTCAAATTATATTCCAAAAAACTGAGCCTAAGTAATCTTCGGTTATATGTTTAGAGAGAAGAAAAGCGGCCTTTTTCAAATTACTAATTTGAAGAGAGGTCAGGTAATCGGTTATGTCAAGTTTTTCTATGACAAAATCACTAATGTTAACGTGAAAGATAGCAGAGGATAGGGAGGAAGAAGAGGAGCTATCCATGATAAGAAGAAAAGGTATCCCGAGATCAACAAACCTCTTATACCATGTAAAGGATATTAGTGCCCATTCTTTATTAGTTAGAGATATTGCATTTGTACTTGAATAAGCTATACATGAATACATGATAAGCTTTACAATTATATACTGATAACTACAATCGTATGAGATAAGTATAAATAAATACATATTTGTTATGAAATAATAAATATCCATGACTATTTTATATTCTCATTATTCATTTCATCGTTTAATATGAAAAATTAAAAAGATGATGCAATTAATTTAATTATTTATGTATTATTTAATGGTTCATAGTCTCTTATAATTCTCTTTTTAATATTAAAACCTATAAATAGTCTTTATTATTCATTAGTTTGATATAAAATGTTTTTGTAGAGATTATGAAAAATGTTTGGAGAGATTATCTCTTGTCTTCATTTTATTTCATAATGAATTCATTTTTTTTATCATCTTTCTCTTCAATTATATTGTTATTACTATTTTTTTTATAACACATTATCAGCACAAGTGTTCTATCAAAACACGTAAATTATCTAGACTATTAAGAAATATGTATCTAATTTATTTTTTATTTTACATCTAATAGTACATATAGTATTCTTGAATGATCTAATATATATATTCTAATGAATTAATGTATGTTGTTTGAAAATTTTGAATTTTACTATTATGTTTGTTTTTATTTTCTAACATTGTTATTATATCTTGTATTATAGAATTTTTATCATGTCAAACCTCACAAATCTTGATTTTGTGGCCCTTAACATTTCGGGTAAGAATTATTTATCATTAATGTTTGATGCTAAGATATATTTAAATGCGAACGGTTTGGACAAATAATCATGAATGATAATTAAGAATCCTTGCAAAACGAGTGTTAAGGCAATGATCTTTCTTCGTCATCATCTCGCATGAGGATTTAAAAACTGAATATTTGACTATAAAGGATTCACTTGAAATATGGACAAATTTAGAGGAAAGGTACAATAATCAAAAGATGATTCAAAAGTTGGTTATGATTGGATGTACTTAAGATTACAAGATTTCAAAATAGTAAGTGAGTATAATTCTCCAGTATTTAGAATCGGTTCCCAACTAAAATTATGTGGAGAAAATATTACTAATTCGGATATATTAGAAAAAACATTCTCTACTTTTCATGCCTCGAATGTGCTCCTACAATATTAATATCGAGAAAAAGATTTCAAGAAATACTTTGAAATCATTTCATGCTTACTTGTAGCTGAATAAAATAACACGTTATTGATGAAAAATCATGAATCCCGCCCAACTAGATATACTCTATTTTTTGAAGTGAATGTGATATCTTATAATAATTTTAGGTATGAACGAAAATGTAATCATGGCCACGGACGTGGACATGATCGTGGCAATATCTAAAATCGTGGTCGAAATAATTATCGTTATAATTCGATGGTTATAATAATAAACCACACCATTAGAAGTGGATAAACTACGAAAAAAAAAACGAAAAGAATAAAAGTGGATCAAGTGAGTATTTTAAAAATAAATGTTATAAATGTGGTATGAAGGAACATTGGTCTCGTCCTATTATATGCCAAAGCATTTTGTTGAGCTTTATCAAACCTTGTTGAAAAAGAAAGAAAATAATATAGAGGTAAATTTTATATATTAAAATAATAATTGTGATAATGTTCCTCTTGATGATTTTAATAATTTGACACATTGAGATGTTATTGATTTTTTTTTTTTAAGATTCTGAAATAAAATATCATTAGGTTAATGATAATCATTGAAATTAATATCTTTTTAGTTTTTTATTGACAAATAAATAAGTTTTATATTTTTCTTATAATTTCTATTGCATTGTGATATATATATTATTCTTATTCTTATTCTTATTCTTATTCTTATTATTGTGTTTATGAATAATATATGAATACCGTTAAGTTCACAATTGGTTTGAACATCAATGAGAATTCATGCCTTATAAGCAGTGCAATAATGCATACTATACTTAAAAATAAATGATATTACTCCAATTTAATGATGGACAAGGCTAATGTTAACACTATATCTAGTAGTGTCAATTTAATTAAAGGCTCTAAGAGAGAAAATATATTACTACTTGGAGGAATAAATATGGTTACAAATGATGCATTATTTTCACATACTATTACTTCTATTTATGCCATATAAGTTCACATTTTCACATAGTGTTTTCTTATAAGTTCACATAGATGAGAATTTATGCCTTATAAACAGTATAATAACGCATACTATACTTAAAAATAAAAGGTATTACTCTAATTTAATGATGGACAAGACCAATATTAACACTATATCTAGTAGTGTCAATTTAATTGAAGGCTCTAAGAGAGAAAATATATTATTACTTTGAGGAATAAATATGATTACAAATGATGCATTATTTTCACATAGTGTTACTCCTATTTATGCCTTATAAGTTCACGTATATGAGACTTATGCCTTATAAACGGTGTAATAACGCATACTATACTTAAAAATAAAAGGTATTACTCTAATTTAATGATGAAAAAGACTAATATTAACACTATATCTAGTAGTGTCAATTTAATTGAAGGCTCCAAGAGGGAAAATATATTATTACTTAGAGGAATAAATATGATTACAAATGATGGATTATTTTCACATAGTGTTACTCCTATTTATGCCTTATAAGTTCACATAGTGTTTTCTTATAAGTTCACATATATGAGAATTTATGCCTTATAAACAATGCAATAATGCATACTATACTTAAAAATAAAAGGTATTACTCCAATTTAATGATGAACATGGTTAATGTTAACACTATATCCGGTAGTGTCAATTTAATTAAAGGTTTCAAGAGAGAAAATATATTATTACTTGGAGGAACAAATATGATTACAAATGATGCATTATTTTCTCCTAAGTTTTACAAGAATTTTTTGAGTTTCAAAGATATTCATCTAAATGGATATCATATCTAGATAACGAATATGAAATATCGAATACTTATATATTATAATGATTATATTAGTTAGAAAATATTTATTAGATAAATTACCCGATTTGTTTTTTTGTCTTTATTACAAACATTTAAATAATTGAAATAAATGATATAGTAAACCAAAATATTACTAATTTAAATAATTTTATTATGTTGCATAATCGGTTAGGTTATCATGGGTCTTTCATGATGTGAAAAATTATTAAAAATTCATATATACATGTATTAAAGAGGCGAGAAGATTTTTCAATTTAATGAATTTTTATATTATGCATGTTCTCATAGCAAATTAATTATTAAGTCATCACCAAGTAAAATTAAGATGATATATATCGGCCAATTCATCCATCATGTAGATCATTTAGATAATTTATAATTTTAATAAAT